GGCGGTTCATCTTGTCGACGTACCAGGCGACCGACGACCTATACATCGGCCAGCTGGAGGAGCGCTTGACTCACCTCAGGATGGGCGAGCAGGAGTCGGCGACGGACTACTGCAACCGAGCTCGACGGATCCTCGTCGACATGCGGATGGCGGGCGTCGACTACTCGACGGCGTCCTACATCACGCACGTCGTCAAGGGACTGCCGAGCGGGTATAATCTGATACGGCGGATGATGGCGATGCCCGGCGTGCGCGAGACGCTCAACGAGGATACCCTCACAAGCCACATCATCAAGGATGAGGCTATGCAGGAGGCAGAGAGGCCCACGGAGCTCCTTCCGCAAGCGAACTACGTCGCCCCGACGAAGCAGAGTCGTCAGCAGGGGCAACGCGGGAAGCAGAGCGGAGGTGGTAGCGGAGGTGGGAAATCGGCGAAGAACGCCGAGCGGTCGAAGTCGGCTCGGGACAACGGTCGAGGAGGAGGCGGTCGACGGCGGAAATGATGGCTATGCGGCAACCTCGACCATTTCTCCTTCGAGTGCCCCGACCGCGACGAGAGCGACGACGACGACAAGGGAGGCCACGGGAAGTCCGACGGCAATCGTCGACGCCGGGACAACAAGCCGCCGAAGGAGAAGCCGTCGTCGAAATCGACGTCGTCGACGAAGGATGCTGACTCCTCTACCGGCACAGGTCAAGGCGATGGGGAGGCGTCGTGCTCGATGGTCGAAGTCGTAGAGTCGACCGTCTCTCTTGCGCCGGAGGCCGGGGAGGACTTCAAGGCGGTCGCGGCAGCAGTGCAGGCGAACCCGACAGTGGTGCTCCTCGACAGCGGTTGTTCCCACCATCTGATGGGAACGAAGGAGGCGTTCGTCGAGATGAAGCCTGGAGGCAACGTCAAGCATGTGCGTGGCTTCAACGGGGCATTGCAGCACGTCGAAGGCCGTGGCACCGTCGCTCTCCGCGGGAAGATTGGGAAGCAAATTCTCTTTCCCGACGTGCTCTACGTCCCGGGCGTGCATGCTAACCTGCTGTCGGCCGGCCAGCTGCTGGAAAACGGTGTGAAGTTGCAGGACGTCGGCGACGAAATGCTGCTCGTCTCGGCGGCGGGGGACGTGCTTGGTCGGGCGAAGTAAACCGGCCGGATTCTCTGCACCGACCTTCGCCCTTGCTCGACGGAGTCAATGTCGGCTCTGGCAGAGGTGGTGGCTCTGCGGACGATCACTTCGGCGACAAAGACTACGCCGGACATGTGGCACGCAAGGCTAGTGCACGTCGGCGTCGACACGATCAAGCTAGATCGCGTCCTCTACATATACCAGCCTCACTACTACAACGACGGGACTGGCCGAGTGTGCAAGCTGATGAAGAGCCTCTACGGGCTGAAGCAGTCGCCGCTGCTGTGGTATAAGGCGCTCGACGACGTGCTGACTGGCGCCGACTGGAAGAAAAGCCAGGTCGACGAGGCTCTCTACTTCAAAGTCGGCAACGACGGATTGATGTGCTGGGTGCTCGTCTACGTCGACGATCTTCTTGCCGCCAGCAGCAGCCTCGCTATGCTGAAGGAGCTGAAGGAGCTGCTGGAGGCCGCCTTCGAACTGCGCGAGATCAAGCCGGTCGAGAAGTACCTTGGGCGGGAAATTGTGCGCGACCGACCTGCGCGGAAGCTGTGGCTCCACCAGCAGGTCTACGTCGACAAGCTGCGTCGGCGTTTCAAAGACGACGAGCAGACCGGGCGAGTGCCGAAGACGCCGGTCTCCGTCGACGCCTACGCAGAACTGACTTTCGATGACGAGGACGCGCAGTCGCGCGAAGAGGAGGAGTATCGGCAGAAGGTCGGCTCGCTGCAGTTTGCGGCGACGACGATGAGGCCGGACATTGCCTTCTCATGCAGCAAGTTGGGAAGCGGCCTGACTGTGCGGAGCGACAACCACTGGCGCGTGGTCGACCGTTGTCTGCACTACCTTGCTGACACCCGTGACGCCGCTCTGGAGTTCGGCGGTGGACCAGAGTTGCTATGCAGACGGGAATTGGCCCCGCCCTCGCTTGGGCGAAACGGACTTCGCAGTTGGGGGGCGCGCAGAAGTTGTCGTAGACTGCGCGCAGAGTTCGACCTCGACCTGCCCGTATAGTTCGACCTCGACGCATTCGCAGAGGACGCGGTCGACGGGCTCGCAGAGGACGCTGGTCGACGAGTCCGTCGAGGAGCTCGGTTTGACGGGATCCGTTCGGTAGAGGAGCTCCTCGACGAAGGCGGTATAGGAGCTCCTCGACGAGGCTGGCAGAGGGCTCGTCTAAGCGAAAACTGCTCGACGAAGCATTCGTCGAGCTGCTCTATGGAAGCCGCGCGACTGCGAAATTCGTCGTGTGGGCGAATGTTGAGAAGATTTGAACAAGAATGAATGAACTATGAAATGAAGTGAGTACAAATATGAAACCCTAATTGGTTGTACCCCCTATGGAATACCCCACTATAGCCTACACAACAGCATAAGCTATAATGTTCTGACACACCCCCATAGGCAAAGTGGGGGAGAACAAGGGGTCACAAGACCAGTCAAGCAAAGTAAAGCAAAGCAAGCTCAGGGTGGATCACAAAGTCACCACACAGTCCGAGCACAGGGTCAAGGCCACACGGCCAGTTCACATGCAAGAGTACACACATATATATATAAAGCTAGACAAGCAAGAGCAGGTATATATATATGTGAGAGTACAGGCAAGGTCAAGAGGAGAGCAAGTGAGGCAAGACGGGCACAAGACCCAGCTGAGTGCAGAAGCGCTGATGATCACAAGGCGGAAGTGCCTTGGTGAAGACATCAGCAGTGTTGGCCTCAGAGGCCACGTACGCTAGCCGCAACTGACCACGTTGCTGTAACTCACGAGCAAGGAAGTAGCGGAGAGCAATGTGCTTTGTTCTGTGCTCCAGTCGCTGCTCTCGACACAAGGCCAGCATGGCCTTGTTGTCTACGTACAGGACTGGAGGAGAACGAGGCGGCTCTCCAAGGTCGGTCAGCAGGTAGGTGAGCCAGCGAAGCTCCTGTGCAGCCATGGCCCCGGCGTAGATCTCAGCCTCACAACTCGAGCCAAGAACAGAAGACGAGCGAGTAGCCCGCCACGAAACAGAGCCGGAACCAAGGCTGAAGGTGTAACCCTGTGACGACCGCTGCGTAGCCTGGTCGTCAGCCCAAGAAGCGTCCGCGTGCCCAGTGAGGACCACTGGACTCCGCCCTCCAAGCACTAGCCCCATGCCCGACGTACTGCACAAGTAGCGCAACACCCTCTTCGCTGCAGCCATGTGCTCTGGTCTGTATCTCCCAGGAGCAACATAGCGTGCAAGAATGCTAAGAGGGTATGCAAGGTCAGGTCGTGTGCAGGTCATCAGGTACATGAGGCAGCCAACAAGCTCTGGGTACGGGCCACTCGACTCTACGGACTCATCCGAAGGCAGAGCTGAGAGCGAGTGGCGAGTAGACAGAGGAGTGGCCTGAGGCGAGGAGTACGTGAAGCCGAAGCGCTGAAGGACCTGCTGCACCATGTGTGACTGAGTCAGGGTAATGGTGCGGCGTGCTCTGTCCCGGGTGATCTGCAAGCCAAGGTAGCTGCGCAGTTCACCCAGGTCTGTGCACGTGTGTCTCTTCTGCAGCTCGGACTTCACGTAGGCGAGTCCAGCAGTGTCAGCTGTGGCAAAGACCAAGTCGTCGACGTACACGAGGATGTAGAACGGCGGCAGAGAGGTGTCGGTGCGTAGAAACAGCGACGGGTCGGCAGTAGAAGGAGCAAACCCAAGAGCCGCAAGTGTAGTCCTCAGTGTGTCGTGCCACTCACGTGGCGCCTGGCGAAGACCGTAGACTGGACGCCGGAGACTCCACTGGGTACCAGAAGGGAAAGACCCAGTGAAGCCAGGTGGGCGACGCAGCCAGATCTCCTCGTGCAGGCTGCCCTGCAAGAAAGCTGTGCTGAAGTCAAGAGAGTGCAGCTCGTAGTCACGGTGAGCAGCAACGTGCAGCAGTACCCGAAGAGTGGTCATCTTCGGGGTGGGGGAGAAGGTCTGAAAGTAGTCAACTCCCTGCCGCTGACTGAAGCCACGAGCCACGTAACGCGCCTTGAAGACAGGCGGAGAACCCGGCGGCCGCTTCACCCTGAAGATCCACATGCCACTGACGATGTTCGCCCCAGGAGGGGGGACAGCGTCAACGTAGGTGCCTGTGGACTTCCAGGAAGCCATCTCTGCATCCATAGCTGCCTGCCACTGAGAGGAGTAGGGACCCTCTATCGCCTCCGCGTAAGAGCGCGGAGTCGGGATGTCAAGTGCATCCGGGTCTCCCTCAGGGGTAAGCAGTACGGACACGAGATGAGGTGAGGCAGCTGCCAGACACTGGAACTCCTCCTGCCTGTCCTCAAGGACGTCCGTGCCAAGGGCACACTCACCCCCGACGGACGGAGGACAGACAGACTCAGACTCAGCGACAAGACTAGCAGCGTAGTCTAAGCGACAGCGAGCAGCAAAGTCGACGAGCTCAGTAACGAGAGCAGACGCAGCAGTAGACTCGAAAGAAGGGTCAGTGACAACAGTAGCAAGGAGACGCGTGACAGTAGGACTGGCAGCACGAAGAGAGTCCGACTCCGGGTCGGCAAGAGCAGGAAGAGAGGACTCAGGAGGAGAAGGCAAAGGGGCACGCAGAGGAGCAGTGGACGGACGCAGAGACATCCGGTGCGTGCCAGGGACAGGAGGAGGACGCTGACGCGAACCGCGACCACTAGTGCGAGCAGCACGGACAGGCGACGCAGGGCGAGACGCAGGCTCACGACGCTCAGCCAGACCTCCAGTAGGACCAGTGTAGGGAGAAGGAGCAGGCAAAGGGGAGGTAGGCTGCAACTGTAGCTGGGACGAGACAGGCTCTGGACACTCTAAGGGAGGAGGAGGACCAGTAGAAGGTGGAAGACCAAGAACCTGCTGCAGGAGTGGAACGAAGTACGGTCGAGGCCACGCGGCGACGCTAGAAGCAGCAGGGACCGCACCAGAACCCTCAGCAGGAGCACCCGCTCCAGCAGCACCACCAGTAGCTCCAGAACCTCCAGCAGCACCAGGAGCACCCCCAGTAGGACTGCCAGCGGTAGTCTCAGCGCCAGCACCCTCAGCAGCACCAGCTCCAGTGCACCCAGGACGAGCACCTCCGGGACCCGCGACCGCAGCACCCTCAGCAGCCGAAGGACCTCCAGCACCAGCAGCACGCCTCCAGCGCCGGGCAAACCACTCGCGCAGCTCCTGTGGAGAAAGTGGCTCCCGGCGAGACGAAGCACTCGGAGAACCTCCAGGCGGAGCACCTCCAGGCTCAGCACCCCCAGGCGTAGCACCCCTAGGCTCAGCACCCCCAGACGTAGCACCCCTAGGCTCAGCACCCCCAGGCTCAGCACCCCTAGGCTCAGCACCCCCAGGCTCAGCACCCCCAGGCTCAGCACCCCTAGGCTCAGCACCCCCAGGCTCAGCACCCCTAGGCTCAGTACCCCCAGACGTAGCACCCCCAGGCCCAGCACCCCTAGGCTCCGCACCCCCAGGTACAGCACCCCCAGCCTCAGCACCCTCAGCAGCACCAGAGTCACCAGTGACCTCGACAGGCTCGACTGCGTCTACCTGGGACACACCTGAAGGGGCAGGACCCTGAGGGGGGAGGGGGTCTACCTGGGGGGGACCTGGTACCAGGAAGAGTGGGGGTGGGGGGAGGGACGGAGTGCGGTAGGGGAAGAGGCGGTAGTAGGGGACCGACTCGTCAAACGTGACGTCCTGGGAGGACAGAACACGGCGAGAGGTGGGGTGGTAAAACTGCCACCCAGGCGCGTCAGGGGGGAACCCCAGGAAGACGCAAGGAGCAGCACGAGGGGATAGTTTGTCCGCAGACAGGACGCGGACAAACGCCCGAGATCCCCAGACCCGGAACGCCGACGCATCGCCAACCTTCCCCGTCCACAGCAAGGCTGGGGAGGTCTCCGGCCTGGAGACCCTGGGGTGGAGGTTGATCTGATGCGCCGCGTACCTCACTGCAAACGGCCACAGAAAATGGGGGGCAGCCGCATGCATCATAGACGTACGAGCGACGTCCATGACCATGCCAATGCGGCGCTCAGCAATCCCATTTTGCTGCGGTGAGTCCGGAAGCGTGAAGGTCTGACGGATGCCCCGTGCACGACAGTAGGCACGCAGAAGGCCAGAGGAGAACTCTCCGCCTCTGTCCGAGTGCAGACGCAGAACAGGAAAGTCCGAGCCGAAGCTCTGCCTGAGCTGGAGACGAGCTGCGCGGATCCAGTCGATCAGCACCTCAGTGACATCACCCTTGCTGCGCAAGGGGAAGACTGTGGTGTAACGCGAGTAGTCGTCAACAACGAGCAGGAAGTAGCGCTCGTGACCCTGTCCACGGACGCGGGCTGGGCCCCACACGTCCATGTGAAGTGTCTGCAACGGGGCCTCTGTCGGAGGAAACTGGGAGGAGTGAGGGGCAGCACGCAGGCGCCCCTCGACACAGGGGACACAGGCAGGGCCAGGGCCCTGAGGAAGGGGAGGGAGGGACCGGGGGAGACCGGACACAAGAAGACGGGAGGCCATACCTCTGAGCCGAAGCAGAGAGGGGTGGCCAAGGCGGTGGTGCCAGAGGAGAGTCTCGTGAGACAGGAGACGACACGAACAGGGGGCAGACTCAGGACCAGACCTGGACGCCGCAGCAAACACCTGACCCGACGTAACTACCCTACCAGACTCAGCAACTGGAGGAGACGCAGTGGTCAGAGTGTACAGGCTCGACCCCGGCTGACGGGTGAACGTAGCCAGGTGTCGGCCTGTGCCAGCCTCTGTACAGTGGGTCACTCTCTGACGTGCAGGAGTGAACTGGTGGACCCCCGCATCCTGTAGGTCAGCACCACTCACCAGGTTCGTAGAGAACGAGGGGAGGTAGAGACCAGACAGGGTGCCAGAGGGAGCCGCCGGACACGGGAGGACTGTGGAGAAGCGAGACAGGACAGGACCCCCAGAGGGGTCAGCCAGAGACACTGCAACCGGTCGACTCAGCGGTGTGAGTGTGGTGCGGTCCCGAAAGAAGGAGCGAGATGCCCCAGAGTCAAGGGTGAAGGTGAGGGAGGCCGAAGCCGACGCAGTACCTGAGAGCGCAGACTCACCAGTACCTGAGGACGCAGACACACGAGCACCTAGAGCAGCAGCGTCGCAAGCACCTAGGGCAGCAGCCTCACCAGGACCTAGAGCAGCAGTCTCAATGCCCGGATCGGGCGGGAAACACCGGTAACAGTCACCCTCATCACTAATAGACACAGCATACATGGCAGAGAGAATAGCATCAAAGTCAAGATCATAGATGGCAACACCCGCCCTAGACAGCTCGCCCCAGCGAGGGATCTCGGAGGCCTCCGGGAACTGGTGACGCCACGCGTCCGTCAGGCGGCCAAAGCAGCGCTGGGTGGGGTGGGCACCCCCACACTGCTCACCCGCACGGTCGCCAGTGCGCAAGACGTAGGAGTACGGACCAAAACCCCCACCCCGCTGACGCGCAGTGTACCACTCACGAAGCTGCTGAGGGGACAGGGTGTCACGACCACGCTGCTGCTGCTGGCGCGAGCCACCACCGGAGCCACTCCTCTGCGAAGACCCGCGACCAGCACCACCGCCACCCCCGCCGCCTCCGACGCCTCCGCCGCCTCCGCTACTGCCGCCGCCTCCGCCTCCGCCGCCGCCTCCACCTCCGCCACCTCCGCCACCTCCGCCACCTCCGCTCCCACCGTCACCGCCGCCGCCACCTCCACCTCCACTGCCGCCACCGACCCCTCCACCCCCACCTCCACTCCCACCGCCACCCCCACTCCCCCAACTGCCGCCACCTCCACCTCCACCGCCCCCGCTCGCTCCTCCAGCGCCCTTGCCCCCCTTGCCCTTGCCAGAGCGGCGTCTCCCGCTAGGGGCAGACGCCGCACCGACCGACTCAAGAACAAGGAGGTCGGCCGCAGCAGTAGAGGCAACAGAGGGCAGAAGGGGGGAGGGGGAACACCCCTCAAAGATGGGGGTGCGCGGGTCACCACGAGAGGCCCCTACAGCGACTATGCTCTTCTCGGCCGCTAGGAGGGACTTCTCGAGGAGGTCAACAGTGAGAGTGGTGGGACAGACAGAGAGAAAGTGGTCCCTGACTACGCGAAGGGAGTCAGGAAGGCGAGTGACTATGTAGTAAAGAGTGATGTACATGGGGGGGGGGGTTCCTGGCGCAGAAGTCAGGAGGGAGTGCAGCGCGGTAGCGAGTGTCACTAGTGCGGAGGTGCGTAATGAGGTCAGTGACTGTGGGAAAGGCAGCAAGATCAGGAAAGAGGTACGGTAGCATGAGACGGCTCAGTGCAGCAGTGGCAGGGGAGGAGTAGCGCGCAACTACAGCGTCGTACAAGGTCTGAGCACTCTTGTACTGACTAAAGTGCGCACGCTCGGAGGTAGGGAGGTGGCGACGCACAGCAAGACGTGCAGCAGCGTCGCGCGTGGCCCACTGGGAGCGAACAGTGGCGTCAGCATCAGCAGCAGGGGCAGTGGAGGTGCCAGAGGTGAGGTCAAAGAGAGAGAGGCCGTCTACCCTATCGCACTGTAAGAACAGCTGCAGATCATCTACCCAGACCTCAAAGTCAATGGCCCTACCCTCAGCGTCAAAGGCGAGAACACTAGGGGTAGCCATGACCCTAGACGACTAGCAGCGCAAACAGTAGGGTGAGGACAGTGCAGTGAAAAGGCGCTGTGCTCACCAGACTGGGCAGGTCGGGCGGCCCTGAAGGAGGGCGGCACGGCGGCTCGGCGGCTCAGCTGCTGGGCGGCCCGGCGGCTCGGCGGCTCCGCTGCTGGGCGGCTCGGCTGCTGGGCGGCTCGGCTGCTGGGCGGCGCGGCCGCTGGGCGGCTCGGCTGCTGGGCGGCTCGGCTGCTGGGCAGCTCGGCTGCTGGGCGGCTCGGCGGCTCGGCTGCTGGGCGGCTCGGCTGCTGGGCGGCTCGGCGGCTCGGCTGCTGGGCGGCTCGGCTGTGCTGCTGCAGGGCGGCACGGCTGGGCAGCAGGTGACGGGGCCGCAGGTAAGGGCGGCGGGGCCGCTGGTAAGGGCGGCGTGGCCGCGGGTAGGGTGGCGGGGTCGCAGATAGGGTGGCGGGGCCGCAGCAGAGGGCGGCGGGGCCGTAGGTAAGGTGGCGGGGCCGCAGGTAAGGTGGCGGGGCCGCAGCAGAGGGCGGCGGGGCCGCAGGTAAGGGCGGGGCCGCAGGTAAGGTGGCGGGGCCGCAGGTAAGGTGGCGGGGCCGCGAGGAAGGGCGGCGGGGCCACTAGGTAGGGCGGCGGGGCCGCGCGATGGGGCGGCGGGGCCGCGAGGAAGGGCGGCGGGGCCGCGCGATGGGGCGGCGGGGCCGCGCGATGGGGCGGCGGGGCCGCGCGATGGGGCGGCGGGGCCGCTAGGTAGGGCGGCGGGGCCGCTAGGTAGGGCGGCGGGGCCGCGCGATGGGGCGGCGGGGCCGCGATGGGGCGGCGGGGCCGCTCAATGGGGCGGCGAGGCCGCGAGGTAGGGCGGCGGGGCCGCTAGGAGAGAGGCGGCGGGGCCGCTAGGTAGGGCGGCGGGGCCGCTAGGAGAGAGGCGGCGGGGCCGCGAAGACGGGCGGCGGGGCCGCGGAGACGGGTGGCGGGGCCGCAGTGCAGGGCCGCTAGGGCGGCTCGACGAAGTGAGGGCCCGGAGCGCGACTCGGGCTGAGCGCGCTTCGGGCAGGAAAAAAAATCGATGTGGTGGGCCCTAAGCACAGTTCCCAAGGGGGAACCTGCTCGATACCAAGAGAAGATTTGAACAAGAATGAATGAACTATGAAATGAAGTGAGTACAAATATGAAACCCTAATTGGTTGTACCCCCTATGGAATACCCCACTATAGCCTACACAACAGCATAAGCTATAATGTTCTGACAAATGTCGCCCAGGAGGTTTTCGCGAAGTCAACCTGTGGAACGGCATCACGTGCTCAAGGGTGCATCGGGCGAAACCGTCGGCACGTGTTCTACCTGGCACCTGCGCAATGTGCTTGGCGGCGCGTCCGTCTACCTGCACCTATTTGGTAGGTGCGCACCTGCGCAGAAGTTCACCTGCCTCTGCGGCGCTGGCAGACCGCTACTATACCGCGCTGGCAGACCGCTGCTATACCGCGCTGGCAGACTACTCTGCTGCAGCGTTGGCAAGCCGCTCTTCCGCTGCGCTGGCATAGTTCGTCTTGCAGAGGGCTTGCTAGGTGTTGTAATGCCATTCTAGCTATATCGACTTGCATGCCTCATTGTAATCTAATGTTCTTTCAATTTCTTAGTGGAATTCTTGCCATATCTCTTTGTGAACATAGCAAGTAGTAAGAACGCCTAGTGCAATGCTACGATCACCCGCACAACCCCGTGTCTTCCTCCGTAGTCTACTCCCGTTGTGTAGTGACTCTCCGCATCAGCCAGGTAGACTGGTATGAAAGAATTTAGGTGGTGGGTAGGTACAACAATACAAGGGAGCGCAAACTCGAACCACTGTTCGTGTTCGGCGCGAACATGTTCGCACACATCATCTCCGCCAAGCCCATTTCCGCCAAGCCTAAAAGCTTCCCACACCACAACAGTAAGTTGCAAGGTGCAAATTACGGTCTGTACTTTACGCCTGTATTTCTCGGCAGGAAAAACACACACGCACGCACGCTCGCTCAAACGCACACAAGATCCCTCTCTCTGTCTGTGCAGGCGGCTCTACAACAATACGCTCACCGGCTCCATCCTAGCTGACATTGGCTCATTGACCAACATGATCTCCCTGTGAGGCTTCTTGGCTCTGCTGCTCTTGTCGGCATCAATCGCCACTTCTCCACTGCTCTTACGTCCTCAAGTCGTGTTTGTCGTTGTCGCTTGTGTGGTGCACAGCCCTCTACTCCACCAGGTAAGTTGGGATTCAGCCGTCAAGCCTCTTTACACTAGCGTCAAAACGTCTGACGCTACCTGACAGATTTTTGTTGACGCTCGGGCAGGCAGCCAAAAAGAATTACTGGGGAAAATATGTTGAGTGCAAAATGTGGTTTTCACGTCAACCTACCGCCTATTCGCCTGCGGTGAAGGTAAACGAAGTTTCCGGTCTCAAGGTAATTTGTTCTGTGCAAGTTGCACTTTTCTGTGCTTTACGTTTGAGCGTTTACGGTTTGTGAATCGCCTCAACGGTTCGTGAGTTATGAGCGTTTCTCTGAAGGGTTGCATTTGTGAGAGTTCATGAGTGTTTACGGGTGTTCGAGAGTGAGCGCGGGAAAGTCCGAGATTTCGTATGTGTTCATGTTATTTCGTGTGTTCTGCGAGTCATGAGTGTTCGTGAAAGTGTCGTGAATGTTCATGAGTTCGTGAAGCGTTCGTGTGATTTCGTGGTTTCCAGGTGAAGTTTGAGAGTTGCGTTTTCAGTTGTTTTAATGAGTTCGTTTGTAATTTCGTGTTTGTTTATAAGGCTTAGGGGATTTCGCCCCTAGCGAGGTGGTCAAGGCTCGAGGCCATGAGCCCGAGCACTGTTGCGCATGTTGCGCAATCATGGGAGTGTGCTAGTCAAGGCACACGCGCGGCCTGAGGGCGCGATTGAATTCCTCGCCACACGCGCGAGTGTGGCAGTGAGTTGGCGCGTGGGACAGGACAAGTGTGCGTGGGTCCATAGTTGAATTTGTGGGACCCTTGAGCGTTTTGTCTCTACTCTCCGAGAAGAAATCTTCGCCAGGGTGTTTCGCGATGTGCGCATTTCATTTCGAAGTTGGGCGAGCCAGTGCGAGAAGGAGTTCGACGAATTCGTAATTCCGTCGGTAACTACGCGAATTCTCAGGTGTTTTCATGAGCTGTCACGGCCACGAATCTCCACGAGTTTCCACGAGCTCCCACGAACAAGTATGGCCTACATAAACGTTCGTGGGCGAGTATGTTGCCAGCGGTTTCGCATGGAGAAAGTTGGCAATTCGAAGTATGGTTCTAGTTGTCGTTTCGGTGAACTGTTCGCTTTTGCTTTTGGTGGGTTAGTATAAACTTGTGCTTGCGTTTGTTTGCAATCAATCCTTTCAGTGAATGATTTATTCTCTATCAACGTATTGACGTGACGAGAATTTCTGCACACGAGCCAATCAGTCATTTAACGCTGCGCAACGGAGTTTGTGACTACTCTAGAGCATACGATTGTTTTCACACTTAGGAAATCCCTCTACAAACACGGACCCTTGGTTAGGGGCTGGTTCTACCAGGCACCCGAGGACCCTTGGAGGTGACCCCGTGGGGATAACTGAGTGGTGATTAAAGGTGTGCTTAGAGGCTCCTAGTCTCAATAGTAATCAACAAAAGAAAGTGAAGTGGGAAGGATGGTAAGGGGAAGGCGAGTGGGAGTGATTGATGGGAGAGATTTCAAAATTCCGAAAACTTTCTCATAAGAAAATGTCATGCATTACCTACATAGTTCATTACACATCTGCAGCATCACAGAATTAAATAAATAAAACCCGTCCTCCTCCACCCAGCCCCCCTACCTCCCTTATATATGAGCAACCAACTGAGTAACTCTCCATCCATCCCCACTCCTGGTACTTATCTGGCACCACAATAGGAGGAAGCTAAAGCTAACCCTGGTCGAATACATCACAAGAACCATGCGTCGAGAAACCTGTTGGAATGTATTGTTGTGGTGTTCTTTCAAATGATATACTAACGTATGGGTAAAAACGTTTTTCAGATAAAGTATATTTTTTTTTTTCAAATGCTTCGTCGAATGCTTCTCGAATGCTTATCTGTTCAAAGTTGCGTTGTTGAAAACCTTCGGCAAAAGTTTGGTAGGAGTGATTATGGAGATTGGATCTCATTGCATTATACTCTCTATGAACTCTGGGTCTCATTTTAATTAGCTTATATTGGAAGCCTAGCAAGACATTAGCAAGCACCAAAATTAGTTTTTTCACGGGTGCCACACACTCACCGTAAACATTGGAATATATGATATGTTTCATTAATTTAAGGGATTACCATACATCTAGAGCATAAATCTGATTGCCAAGCTTGAACAAAGAGCTAGTGGCCTTCACATGTTGATCTAAGCATGATTTCGCCCAAAAATGCATTACAGTTGCTGAAACAGCAGTGCGCTTCTCAATTAATGACTCCAGCATGAGGTAAATAAAACAGAAGTCGTGAGTAAAAACGACCAGCAATGACGTACAATCGAATGCTTATCAGGAGAAGAAATATATGAAAAATAGATAATTAAGTTAGAGGATCTTGTAGTTCACGCCTCCCAGAGACATAACGAACAGGATGAGAAGGTTAAATTAAATATCAAGTCGGAATAACTCATGATTAGGAAGTGACGCCCTCAATAATAACACACAGCCATAAGTGATAAGCAAGGGCAGATTGACGCAGCAACCTGCATACGCTCATGAAGAAAGTCATCAAAACGAGGTGAGAAATATCCTCAATACACTAAGTAACTGGCCTTCATAAGCAAAAAGACACGGTCATTGCGGTTCGCTGGTAATTGTCAAGGTGGTTGAGCTGGAAATTGTCAAGGTGGATTAGATGGGCGGTTCGGATTGGTTGGGCGATGTGAAAGCCTGAGCTGGATTGAATAAGGCGGCCCGGATTGGTTGGATCCATTTCTGGGCTGGTTGGGGCTGGTTGGGAATGATCGA